CAAACAAAATAAGCATTTGTATAACTAACGTTTGTGCGCGTCAGGATTTGTCATAGCGCACCTAAAGCTAGAACAAAAGTTTAGGGTAACTAGGGTGACATATTGAACTGATCCCGAAATTTTCGCTAGCCGTTATGGTTCGGGCTACATAGCCTAGCAGAGCGTTCGCAGAAATGGGCTACGCTTAGCGATTCGCGAATGACCTTCACGTCACTAAAAAGCAGAGACAAAAATTATGCTTCGAATCGCATGTGAATTCGCATGTTTAGAAATCACACGAACCAAGGAATGCATCACAACCAACATAAACTACAGCGTTAATTTTCCAATTCATATCTAAAGTCGATATGTCCCTACACTGTAAGCAAAAATTAGCAGAGATGGGAGTTTTTCCAGCATATGAGCCTACAAAACTCCCCTGTCACCGTTATTTGCTGCCTGGTAGCGCAGTGAACTCGGCACGAGTCGTCGTAAAATGCCGCTTGCCTAATGACAGAGTTTATGAACGACATGATCTTGTTAATGTAGTTTCAGGCAAAGTGGTTAAAATTTCCTATGGGAGTTTTAAAAACTCCTTTTCGATCGTGACGTGCGTGCGTGTGTGCGTACGGGCGTCTGTTTAGTAAACCGGTGTGAAAATCCAGTGCCTTGTGGGGGCGAGCATATGTCGAGAGACATTGAAAGTATTAGCGAAGCTTTGCAACGGCTGGTTGGTGTTTAGATGTACGTTTCAAGGTAATTCGCACTGTCGAACCACGCTGGAGATCGGCCTGATTCCTCAACTAAATGTCTCGAACAAGTCGCTTCAAAGAGCCGAGTCACGAAGAATCGCAAGGAATAGTTTCAATGGTAACAAAAGTAAGCTGTTGCGATCGTCAGCAGCTGCTTCTGTAGTTTCACCGTCTAAAACTTCGAAGCGATCCGAAGGAGGCCTTGCTCGACCTCAGGAGCTCGTAAGCTAACCAGCGGCACGTGCAAGAAATGCACCGGCGACGTGCTCGCCCCGACCACTTGCGATGGTGGTTTCCCTGAGTGTCACCGCTATTAAAGACGATAGTCTTTCTTGCGGACCTTCGATGCAAAAATTTTGGTCTGTCTGTCTGTCTGTCTGTCTGTCCGTCTGTCTGTACATTTGTCTGTTTGTCCACCCTTAACGGTAAAGTGTACTCCGAACGGCACTAGCTGATACCCCTAACGGCTGACCCCACCTGCAGCGCCCACCAATGTTGCTCAAGCTTCAGCGTTCATACTTGTGTGGTCGTCAATCAAAAAGCGATTATTGCGCATATCTGAAGCACCATAACAACACATATATATTCTGTATGTGCGCCGTTTACTAGAAAAGGCATACATAAGTAATTCTAAGGACCATAGCGTTTATCACGCGGCGCTGACCATGCAATGCTTGCACGAAAAGGCGAGTGTTTCCAACGCTTTGCTGCCCCGCCGCGGTGGTCTAGGGGTTAAGGTACTCGGCTGCTGACCCGCAGGTCGCGGGTTCGAATCCCCGCTGCTGCGGCTGCATTTCCGATAGAGGCGGAAATGTTGTAGGGCCGTGTACTCAGATTTGGGTACACGTTAAAGAACCCCAGGTAATCGGAATTTCCGGAGCCCTCCACTACGGCGTCTCTCATAATCATCAGTGGTTTTGGGACGTTAAACCCCACATATCAATCATATCAACGCTTTGCTAAGACGACACGGTGGTGGCACCTACCCGTCGCGTTGCGTTCTACACCTTATCACCTCAGAGACGGGCGCGCGGACGGCGCGTGCCCCGTTTTCCTGGATAACTGCCAGATAGCGCTCATGTCTCACGTGTGACGTGACTTGATGCGCTCGTTCACTTCCACTGCACGCTCGAGACACTCTAACGCAGCGCCTCCATAATACGATTCACCAATTTTCTTGCGCGTAACATCGAATAAACGTTTTGTTCTATTTCTCCAGACGCAAGACTATCGTCTTTCAACGACATTTTCAGATTAACATGCCGATACGAGGTCAATTTTTTAACCGGCAGATACAACTAAACGACAAGAAGGCCGCGCGACGCCGTCGGTACCAAGCCAGCGTCGTGGCGAGCACGCATTGCCGCACCCGCCGCCGTGGCGAGCTCTATGAGCCACCGGCGAAGCAAAATACTGTGTTTTGCGGAAAAGAAATGCTGCTGCTAGAAATCACAGTTTAAATTGTCTCTTCTGCGCCATGCGTCCGCATACGTCGAATGACTAACGCGAAGGTTCGCGCTGAACAAGGCAGAAGCACACAGAAACGGCGTACGGCATTCCCATGCATTGCGAGCAACAGGAGCCGCGATTGCGAACCGTCTTGTTCGTTTAAGTCTTTCGCTCCGTAGCTCGAATTGCCCGAATAGCGGACACTCATTTCTTCGCGTGTGAAAAATAATGACGACAAAAACTGTACAGCAGCAAGCATTTTGTGACCGCCAGCTGTCATTCATCGTAAAGCCGCGCCGTACTCGTGAATGAGGCCTATCGGTCGAACGTGGTAGCGGTGGTGTCGGTGTTTGCCACCGACGCTGCGGAATGCGCGCCGTTGAAGTGTTTATGCAAGGCCGCGCGGGCTTTGCGTACGATTTAGTTCAATTGACAGATTAACACACACTACTGCTACTGCATATTCAGTTTATGTGACTGAGCACCAGCTAATGATTAAGTTTCGCTATAACTACGAAGTACTCATCATTAGGCAAGTTTGAAATAAAAGGCGTGTGTGCTGAATGATTTAGATTAGGCCACCGCAAATTCATACTTACGCTGTGAATATTTATTGCTTAATTATTCGTAATAAAAAGCGCCCCCCTCGAGAAACAAGGGAGGTCGAAATATGGTGCCTATATATACTTGTGAAAAGACAGTGCTAATAGCCCGAGAACGAAACGGCGACACAACTCTGTGTAGTCGTTTCGTTCTCGTGCTTTTACCACAGAACACCTACCAGTTAAGAGAATGGTAACTGTACCTTTGGGCTGTTGTATCAAAATAACATGCAAATATGTAGCGGCGGCGTACTAAACTGCAATACCGCGAAGCTAGATGGCGCGCGTAGTACTATCATCATCAATCAACAGACGCATTTTTTTTTTGCTGTAGGTGGAGGATTTGCGGCTGAAGTCCCTGAAAAATAAACTAAAGTAGCGCCATTCGTGTCAATGTGCAGACTCCTCTCCCCTCGCGTGCATTGCAGATAGTAAACGACGCTAGTTGAGGGGCTGTATGGCTCCTGGGCGCAAAGATGAGCTTGTGCTCATGTTTCCGTTAAAGCGCATCTGGGCGCTGCGGTTCTAGGCGATGCACCGAAAGAGTGATTGAGAAAGAAAAAAATATAAAAAGTAACCTTAAATACGACGATGTGACGTGTATATAAGCAAGTGGCATGCAGTGGCAAAAGACATCACCGCAAGCACGCAATACTCAACGCGATAGCCCACCGCTTGCATGCAGACGCGCTCAGCGGTGACGCTCTCGACGGCAGCGCCACTGCTGTCCGTGTAATAAACTCGGCGGTGCTAAGAATCTGCAGCATGACGCACTAGCCTTTGTGAAGGTATCGCAAACGCCATTTTGTTTGTCTACTTTCACGGTGTTTGTTTGTGGCTAGGCGTGCGCGCTTGGCATTGTTGTGTAGCCGGAGTTCGACCGCGCGTGAGTGTGTGCACGGTGATCCTGCACGTTTCGGGATGCCGACCTGCTGTGCCAGCGGTTGCAAAAGCAGGTACAGCAGAGGAAAGAAGCTATTTTCGCTTCCGCGAGGAAAAGACAATGCCGCTCGGCAAGAAGTGTGGCTCCAGCGTATCGGAAGGACTGACTTGGACCCTGTATCGTCGCGGCTTTGTGAGGTGAGTACCGGCGAGCTAAACTCTATCGTTTCGCTTGTATTCATGTTTACAGTGTTGCGGTACTGTCAAGCTCGAGCATCACACAAAGAGAGTAACCGCGTCGATGGTAAACGTGCATGCCAGTTGAAACGCGTGCCGCGTTTAGTGCCGTGTAAACGTTGCGTCTCTGGCTTGATCCATGCCGACCACGGCGGCTGCATTTTCGATTGAGGCGGAAATGTTGGGGCCTGTGTACTTAGCATTATATGCACGTTATTGAATACCAGGTGGTCGAAATTTCCGTAGCCCTCCAAAAGGGCGTCCCTCATAATCAAATTGTGGTTTTGGAACGTTAAACGCCAGACATTATTATTGTTATTAATATTACTCGTTTGATCCAGAAATAATCGTCGACTATGTTACAAAGTAAATGTAATGGATACATTCAAGTGCTAAACTAAACTTTGTTTATTGGCCGACGTATAGTTAAATGACTCCCGTGTGTATGTGTGTATGGGTGTAAGGACTTTATGTATAAAGGCGTGGGCAGCGACCTGAATGTCGCATCATTTCGTTTAAGCATGTGCTCCAGCGCGCTCAGTATTCAGAAGCTCTGTGGTTGAAATAAGGACACGCAAGGCTAAATGGTGCGTATTTCTACATACTGTACGCACTGTGTGCTAGTCTGGTGGGAAGAGAATGTGGCAAACAGTGCGTAGTCGTGTACGTGTTGACACTAAAGGTTATTTTAGTTTCTTTTAGAGCGTGCTGTTTCATTGTGTAACAGTAGCCGCGAATGTTTCCTTACCTAGGACCACTTCACTGCGGACCAATTCGAGCCGATACTGCTGCGCAAGTTTGGTACTAAAAGTTGAAGAGAGACGCGGCGCCTACGATCTCCAGTCAAAAGCATTTGCAAACGTCAGGTAAGCCAATCGCGTTAAAAAACTGGAGAATGTCTAGTCCGTCTTCATTGTTTGCTGCATCACTCATAATTTACTTCTCAGCCTTTCACTAACCTGAAACATGTCGTCTTGCATATAGGTGTTGTGCACTGTTTGTGTAAAGCTGATGGCTTTTCTTTGGTATAAATTAATGCATTTTTTTTTTCATTCTCCAGAATGCAATGATTCAGCCCGCTCATCTTGTGGCCTTAATGTACTACTAACAGCAGCTGCTCTTGTTGATGGTGAGTTGACGGTTAAGCACATCTCACGCCTTTTCCTTCTTCGTTATCATTAATACATGTTTGGATTATGCAGAAGCCAAAGAGACACACTGCCCATCAGCTACGAATGTGCTTCTGACACCAGCTGCTGTTGATGGTGAGTTCTTACTGCATTTATTACTTACCGTAATTACAAACGTGCTTTATGCCTTCATTGATGTTTTATAATTTGCAGGCTATGGAGCCAACAGTGATGCCACTCAAGCAGGGTTAGGTTCTTCACAAGGTAACGTAGCTAACACACATGCTGCATGTAGTGGAAGCATTGTAACGGCTTGTAACTTGTATCGATTGGTTTATATATTTTACAATCATGTCTGTAGGGGTGTGCTGCAGATCCACAACATTTTGCTCCGCAGTATGGTGTTCAGCACATTGCAAGCATTGAAAGCATTGTCGCTTGGGTTTTGGCGTGCATTCTTATTACTGAAAAATTGTAATGCACCTGTGCGTATTGTAAATGCTTCAAGTAGTGTTGATGCTTGTTTGCCAAAATGCGATGTAACAGAGATGATGGTCTTCTTCAATTTGTCTTTACCTTTTTTTAGGTCACACTGCCACTGATTCAGCACCATCGGATTTTCCAGAAGGTAATGGCAGTGACATGTTGCTTTGAAATTTCACATAATTTATTGTTGATCTCATGCTGCAGATGCACCTTCAAGTTACGAATGTGACGCACTGCCAGCTTGTTCAACAGCTTGTTCAGCAGGTGAGTGCTACTTTTCATGATTTGTATAGGCATGTGTCTGCCAGATGGTTTTGTTGGTTCCAACTATCATATGTGCGCAGGTGTGGAAACCTCCCATGAATCGAGCTGCCAGCAATTTTAAGCTTTGACGGTGCCTGTTGAGTGTGAGTGAAATTTCTGTTCAGTATCATATACATTTTTTAATTTTAGTCACTGGCCATCCCTCATTCCCTGTGCTGCAACTGTGCTAATTTAAAGCTTTGGTGACTGTACCGGTCTTCAGTACTACTAATAAGATTATCCGTCATTTACAGCTCAGCAGAACATTTGTGCTGCCTGTGGAGGATTTCTGTCTGCTGAGGGCACAGCTGATGTCACCGGTAAGTGTTCAGTGCTACTGTTCTCACACACTGTGCAATATACACTTGAGTGTGACACATCGCCCCCTACAGGAAATCACGTGCACGCTCATAACAGATTGATAAATTGGTGCATTTAATAGTGCGGATGCGCTCCAAGTACTGGTGCCCTGTTTTGTTTCTTTTGCTGGTATGCTCATTCTTGTAAAGTGAGAGCAGTCGCACACAACGCAAGTTTATTGGAGGAACATGTAAGCTGCTGTGTTTTGTGTACAGTAATGCATAGCACACTGCTACACACTGCGCAACATCATCACACTATCACTTGTGACACGCAATCAGCTGCCGTCTTGTAGCAACTCTGTCAAAAAAGCTACAACAGCGGAACCATGGCACTCTCCCCACTTTGTTTGAAATAGCCACCGCCATTGATAACCCTACGTCATAACCAAGAGTACGTGCCATATATTCATGTCTTTACTCATTACTAACTATTGGCATAGCTAGGAGGTGGTACACCGGACACTTGCAGCTCCCAAAATCTCTTTCTACTTTCACACGCAGAGTACAAAGTGAGACGTGACCACATTTGACTGTCCTGCCCCTACTTCGGATCAAGGACACGCCCCCACCAAAAAAATTGTTCAGCTGCATGCATTGCGGGTTCTGCGCAGCTCCACTTGTCCCTCTTCATTGAGCAAAAGTGTCAGCTTATGCTGTTTGTTAAAACCACTGTTGTGTTCTCAAAAAGTTATGCTTACACTTTTCTGCTGAATAATATGGAGCGGCACTGATTTTTTTGTTTCTTTAAATCCTTATGGTTCTCCCTCACATGCTAGTCTGGGTTAAATAGTGAAATTTTCAAACTCTTGTCACTTCCTGCTCAATCTGTGCTTTGCAGGCTCCAGTTCAAGTAGTTGGGATGCTGATCAAGCAGTAGTAGCTGCCCTTCACAAAAGAATAGCTACATTAGAAGAGTGCTTGAACAAAATGAAGCGGAAAGTTGCTACACTGCAACAACAGAAAAGCAGAGCAAACCGTAGAAACCATGAACTCACGCGAAACATCAAGAAGTACCTGTCACCAGATCAACTGCAAGGCATGCGGACTTCCAATATGCGAGGGAAGCAATGGTCTACAGAAACTATACAGAAAGGCCTCAAGCTCCGTTTGACATGTGAATCCAGAGGCTACAATGCGGTCGGGGACAAGTTCTCACCAGGAATTCTACATGAACTTCTGAAGTCCCTTGCTTTAAAGGTGAAAGGATGGTGTAGCTGAATATATTTGTTACATTTATTCTCGTGAGCATCTCTTTCAGCAGTACACCTTGAGCAAAAGGTGAAACCTTTTCCAGAGCCTTCCACTAAGGCATGTCTCATGATCGTATCATGGTTTTCGCACGTAAACCCTAATATTTATTAAGCTTTCATGTGTTGCTAGTGCCAGTGTTAGTGCCTGTCACTGTGCTCTTTGTCGTGCACGTTTTAGTTATTCTCCATACTTGAACATGTCAATCTCGGATCGGTGATTACAGAGGACATAGTTTTGGAGTATAAGAACTCTACTACACGTCTAATTATTAACAAGATCCCGGGGTCTCCCATTAGGCTGGAACGTTCTGTACGCCAGGGATGTCCGGCAAGTCCACTCTTGTTTGCATTGTACATAGAGAGCTTATGCTTGGCCATAATAGAAAACGAGACCATCCGTGGTTTCAGACTGCTTGACGCAGAAGTAAAGGTTTTGGCATACGCTGATGATGTAGCAGTGTGTTGCACCACCAAAGAGAGTGTACAAGAGACAGTTGCCGTTGTTAAAAGTTTTGGAGAAATTACAGGAAGTCGGGTTAATTGGGGAAAGTGTCTGGGGTTGTGGCACGTAGACTGGACATCAACCCCAGATACCTATGCTAACGTCCACTGGTTTAATACTCCAGTAAAATATCTAGGCGTGCTTTTCCAGCACTACAATGACACCAATGATTACTGAACTGAACAAATAAAAGAAACGCGCGAAAGGACAGCGCAGTGGAAGGGCAACTGTCTCTCAATGTTTGCCAGGGCCACTGTATGCAACATATTTTTAATGAGCAAATTATGGTATGTGATGCAGGTTTTGCGTTGTCCACGGGTGCATGTGCAAAAGCTGCATAGGATATTTGCTGTGTTTATATGGAGGTCTACTTGGGAAAAATGTAGTAGGACAAATCTGTTCCGAAGAGTAAAACAGGGGGGACTAAGCCTGTCGCATCTGTTCGTGCGACAACTAGTTAATCGTTTTATTTTCTTTCAAAATGTTCAACACCCCTTCTTAAGAACGGTATGCCAGTTACGCCTTTGTCATGTTCTGCCTAACTTTGTGGTTAGCACCGCAAGCATGCCGGGAGCTACGCGAGGTTTCTTTAAGGAAGTTGCAGACAGTGTACGGTTCTTGTCAGTTCGGTTTTCCAATGAATACCTTTTTTCGGTCGGGCGAAAGAAATTGCATAAAAACATATGCGACATGATTTTACCAGTTCCTATGTATAGGTTATTTATTAGCGGGGGAGAAGGCAATGATGTTCTTAAGCGTGTTAAGAAAATGCAAAGTCAGCCTAGTGCAAAAAGCTTTTTCTTTAAATTACACTCCGGAACACTACCGGTTAAGACTTTTTTAGAAGATAGAGGAGTTTATATGCCATGGGGTTCGAACTGTTTGTTCTGCCGAAAGCTGGAGACAATAGATCACGTTTTTCTGCATTGTTGGGAAGGGGTTTACTTCTGGGTTGTTTTACAGAGAACTCTAAAAAAGGAACTTCCCTTACATTCACTGGGTATCAGGTTTTTAACAGTAGAAAAAAAGGAGGGACTACCTTTTGATCTTATAATGCTGCTTGGCCTCCATTGTCTAGGGCGGGAAAAAATGGCCGGTTACTACTGTGACCCTGACAGGCGTCCGGCCCGTATGCTTTTCCGCGAAAGCATTGCTCAGTACATTGATATACTCAAACAACAAGATTTTGTTCCGGAATGGCTCTCCAGGGTCGAACCCTTGGTGAACCCGAAGGAATTCTAGCACTGTAATCACTAATAGTACCGCGTCTGTTTTGTCATCCCTTCTGTTTGTATGTTACTGTTAACAGTGAATTATATTGATGTGTGTACCTTGTGCAAAACCGGCAAAAAAGAAAAAAAAGAGAGACAACGACACTCTGTGTCGTCGTTTCGTTCTCATGCTATTACTATCGTCATGCCATACCAACTAGCCCAAGCTGCCACACTCCAGTGAAAAGAGTGTGGGTGTGCTTGTGAGCGGCTAGCTCTGGTCAGGGGGAATGGAATTACATTACGAGAACGTTGTGTGCATATCTGCGTATGTGTAATCTATATTGTGTGCTTCGAAGGTAATTTATTTAAAGTTACTCGCGGAACGACTCCGGACGTTTTTTTTTGATGCAGAAATTTACTTTTATACTAACCTACAACAGTTCCCTGATGGATGTAAATAAAAACTCCCATACTGACGTGAAAAAGTTCTGCGATTCTGGTAAATAAAACCTCCTTTAAATCAACCCGACAAACCCCTTCTATCGGGGAGTGAATTTTTTACTCCCTCTGAACGGTGTTTTTAAAACCCCCATAGGGGCATGCACTAGAGGATCAGTCATTTACTCTCATATCGGCTTATTTCTGTTTACAGTGTAGCGAGTAACGCACCGTCACGGCAGCACCGGACCGAATGTTTAACGTAGCGAGGGTTTGCAGACATATTGCACCGTCGTCATTAGTTGCTTCTTCAACAGAACACAACCATTTACTTCCCATTGGGTAGCGCTCGTGTCACAGCCAAGACCAGACTCTAACAATGCGCAATGCGCCGCACTCGGATGTTGCATGGTTCCATCAGCGCATTAAAAACAGGGATATCGACAGTCGACGCTTTTCGCAACGTAAATATTGCGGAAATTTGTCAAAAAACGTCGTTCGGACGGCAGCAGTGAAGTTCAGGAGATGTTCGCGTGGACTGTAGTTGTAACTGCATATTTCTTTGCTCTAACCATTTCACTTCGCTGGTCGAGCTCGAGCGTGTTCGTGGTATGCGGCGCTTTCTAATATTCACTGTAATTGCGATACATTCAATGCGCAATAAAAAGTATGCTTTTATTTTGAGCTCGCTGAAGAATATTACACAATAATTACAATCAAAGTGACTTACGAGCGTGAAAAAAAACATTAACACACGACGGGACGTGCAGTGCAACTCTGTGCTTGTGAGCTAGCAGCTGATCGTTCATCGTCGCTGTCACTCTCAGCGTAATGACAACAATCTACGTCTAGTGAAAAATACTCGACGTCAAGACAGTTTCTTCAAACATCACTGCTGAAAGTAATCTGAGGAATCCTCTCCGCCAAGGCACTTCGATAGCACCAACAACGCGTCATTTACCACGCAAAACATTTACGTGGCGTAACACACGACGTTTATCTGAGGGTGCGGAGATCATTTGGTTCCGATACCTGGCGAAAAAAGGATAGTTTACAGGGTGCTGCAATCTATCAACGAACGTAGACAAAAA